GCTTGTATGATAAATGTATTTTTTGCTCGAGAACTCTTTTTATTAATGTAAAGCCTGTTGGAAATCTCTTCCGCTTTGCTGCTAACATAATTGTGCCCTACGTATTACACTTCTGTGAACACCTTTAAGAATAGTTTTTGTCTTCAAACGTTCGAATACAAAACCACGAAAAGAAAAAAAAAGAAGAGGAATATTGCGCTACTCAAAGAACAAACATAGCGATACAAACAAATCATCTGCTTGACATTATGATCAAAGTTATTTAAAGGTCATCAATATTTCCTATAATGCCACTATGCGTATTATATTTATTATTAATATAACTCCGTGGAACATTGAATTTTTTTCCATGAACAAATTTTTATTTGAAACTTTGAGAATATATTTTTGAATCGTTTTATTAACAATTAATAGAATAAAAAAAAATTAATTTTTTCATTCATTTAAACCTATTTCCTCCCCTAATACGGACATATTACTACTATCAATCAGAACTCCGCGAGTCATTCATCTTTTCACCATGAATAAATCTTTTAATACACAGAAATGCTTGAAAAATCAATTTATAATCTACAATCTACCGAGATGTACAAATGCAAAAAGACAAGGAAACAAGATGACCAGTAGAAAGATGTAAGAGTCTGATAAACGAAAAAGGATGAAAATCGTAAATCTGAATACAACATGATTTCATCTCGCTGGCTGACAATGTGGCAACAAGTACCCAGCTATCTAATGTTTATTTAAATTCTGCCAATTCGCCACGGGGCGTACAACGATCCCCAGACTGTCAAAACGTTCCCGACGAATTCCAGAGCGGTTCGAGGCTGTCGCTAGCGCGTCAGTTCGCAGGCAGATCGCGCTACCAGATGCATAATTCTCCCGGGGCGCCATTAAATTATATTAATCCACTTCCATCAGGAAATTGGAGCTCGCAACGAGCGCGGTCGACGTTGCGTTGTTCTCGACGCGCGACCGCCTCATCGTCTCTGCCTATCGATCTAGCCGCGATATGCTCTTTTATCCTTCGATCGCATCGTCGGTATCGCGCGATTCGGCCCCTGCACCCTTCCGCTATCGGGGACGCGCATTTCCGGAAAGATTACGGACCCGACGGGGTGCCCGTGGCGGCGAAAGCAGCCGGAAAAATCGAACGGCAAGCTGGTAATTGGGTCGAACACCAGTAGAACCCTGGGGCTCGAAAGAACCTCCGTCGGCTCGCGGTGTCGCGGTGTTGTTTATCCCGCATCGCGAAATGAGTTTTGGAACGAGGAACGCGGAAACCGGAGGAATGGGGCAGAGAGTGGTTGCGGGGAACGCGTGCGAGAGGATCGTTCCAGCTAGAGGATCAGAGAACCTGTTATCTACAATGAACTTCTTGGTGCCTATAGAGATCCTCGGGATCTCCATTTTCTGATTCTAGTTTCTTCGTGGTTTACATGTCGAGCGCTACCCATGTTTCGAATACTTTCTAGGAGAAAACTATGGATAAACGATGTCAACTAGACTTACACTAACCTGCTGAATTATAACATGAATTATAACTGCTGCATTAAACAAATTAGGCAAAACGATTATTTGACAGAATCTCGTAAATCTTAGACAATCGTACCTGATAAACGCGTTACTGTACCTTTGGAATTAGAGGAAGAAGGGATGAACTAATTTATAAATATAAGTAGCTTTAATCTTATTGTAATAGTTGTCATTAGAATTTGTAGCAAAAACGTTGTTGACAATTGAGTAATAATAAAACAAAAGTTCGACATGCATGAGTCAAATTGGTATGTTTCTATTCTAGACAAACCTGTGCATAATGAGCTACAGAGTCACTGAATTTATTTACAAAAAGCTGGACACGGTGAAGGCAAGAAGACGTCATCTGTTAGAAACTAGGTATATCTCTCTCAACGGTACTCTTCCGTAATTCTATTAAATTTGTATGTCTAAGCCGAATGAAAGATTACACGCATTCACATCAGTAGAACAGATCTAAACGGATTAGTAGAATTAATGGATACACTGACAAGAATCAGTACATACTAAGTTAGGAAATAGAACGCCTGTTATTTACGAGTCATTTTGGAATATATATATATAGATACCTGTAGGAGGCTTTCCTTAATTTTCCTATGTTCATGTTGTTCATGTTTGTTCATTGTTAATTGTTGGGCATTCGAAAAAGTTCGTGGTGTTTCTCAACCATTTGCATGATTTTATCGCATCGTTCTGTGATTGGTCAACCACAGCGTGATGCATCTTTGACATCAAAACTTTGATAGAGCATTTTCTCCGTAAAAACCACAAATTTGTTCACAATCCTGCGTAGCACTCTCGCCTTGATCGAGCGACAAAACGCCGCGAACTTTTCCGAATACCCATTATATTTTAACTCTAAAACTTTATCGAAACGAGAAGTCCTTTTATCTCCAATACTTTCCAAGATAGCATTAGGAAATAAAATTTGAGAACACGATTTCAGCTCTTAACTCAACCACTAAAATTCGTAGGAAAATTCAGAAATATAAAAAACTAGAGCGAACCAAACGTATATATTACGATCTCTATTTAAGGGAGTAGTAAATTCCCAGTGTACGCATACTAATGAGATGTCCTCCATCTGGAGCCGAGGAGAAGATTCATTGTGGACATAACATGTCCACTTCAAACCATGTTGGTACAATATGTTCAATTAATGATAGTTCCTTCGCTACAAGGTAATGTGGGCAGTGTTGTCACGTGATTGATGACGAGCCTGAACATGTGACTATTTGTAAGAGCGCGTCATAAAGACAGGTGACACGAGTAACGTTTTAAACACGAAGTCCTGGTATTTCTATCAATCTATTCCGAATTATAGCAGTACAAAGTTATCGTTGTATCTCGACAATTATTCTAACAGTTCGTAATTTTTTCCACAAAATTCGCGACAACCTACTTTCCTCGATTCTCTGTTGTAATCTAATCAAGATTAGGCGTTTGGAGAAGTCTCTGATTTCAAATCTAAACACTAAATTTAAGTTTTCACTCAGATCCCAGTGGTAACAAAAGAATCGGTAGGAAGCATCGCGAGATGATGGAGATTCTAAGCTAGTAGCGTGAGTTATTCGCGATAAACGTCTTACCTCTATTTGATTTCTTTTCATATCGAGTTGACATGTTCTGGATGTCTCGAATAATAGCAGTACCTTTCTATACTAAAGGACATTTTCAAAACATTTTCTGATCCAGAATAGCGAATGCGATTTCATCGAGAGACGCCAGAGAAGTTTACGACTTCTTTACCCGACCCACATTTTATGTCGTAAAAAGGAATAAATTTCATAAATAAATTTACTTTGCTTTTGTCTACGAGGCGTTCCCCCTCAATTTTTTTTTCTGCGCAGATAAGGCATTGCGGATACCTTAAATTTTTTAGGAAGTAACATAGACGATGGTTTATGGAAGACCCGAGGAGGGCTTGGAGAAACTTGGACGAGAGGTGGCTAAATATTTTATGACCCTTTCACTGCCCGGAACATGACAAGAAATAGATTTTGTTATATATTTTCTGAACTCTTGCGTGCGACATTCTTCTGCCCTTGGAGAGTGTGAAACATGAATGTCACCAGTTTTTTTTAATAAAGATACAGAGAGTTGAAAGGGAGCCTAATAGTTTCGAGAACAATGCTCCTGTGGGACTTTTGATTCACAGACAATACTCTAGCGACTAACTGATTGTAACTTTTCCTTGCATGAGAGCAGAGATAAAAGTTGTTAACAATTCTAGAAATACTAGAATATTCTCCAATATTTAAGATAATCGAATCGAAATTAATGTAATTAATAAACTAAAAAAATTCAGAAATTGAAACTGGAAAGATTGATGGCCTGCCAACAGCTGATCGTCTCGAATATTTTATATACTAACAAAGTCGATTGTTAAAAGGAGATACGAGAGACACAATTAACTGAAAAAATGCAATAATCATATCCATGAAAGATAAAGGTACATTTAAGATAAATAAATTTACAAATACAGAACAAAATATTCAATACTCTAGCCAAACAAAATGTAGTAAAACGCAGAATTCACTAATTAATAAATTGTATACAGCACTATTTTTGTATCGTGAAAAACATCGAATCACGATGTACCAAACAAATTTTATTTAACGCCATTCTTGTATCGTAGTCGAAAATAGCTTTCTAGTTCTGGTTGTAATCAAGGGTGAAATTGAAAATAATAGTACAGGGTTGTCAACACTCCGGACTAAGAAACTAACGAAACATTGAACCACTATTTAATAATAAAACTTTTACTTTGCTCTATTTTCAGATTTTAATTAAAAATAACTTTCCAGTTCGGATTCTAATCAAGACTGAAACTACAAATACAGAACGGGGTAGTCTACATTCTGGACTAACAAAATGTATCAAAACATCACATTTTACTTGAAAAAAATTCACTTAGCTCCACTTTTCTTTCTCGATCTAAAATAGCTTTTTAGTTCAGATTTTAATAAGGGTTGAAATTTAATTTCTACATTAAAGCTGCCTCTGCCACGAGTATCTCGGGAAACGCGAGAAGGGTTGAATGGGGTGGTTCACTTAAAAATCTCCCCGCCCATTTGGAACATAAGTTTCACGCGTGAAAACTCTATCCATAACAATTTCCTCGTCGCTTCCGCGCGTACGTCGAATCATCGGTGTCGGTGTAATTCGTAAATCCTCGAGAAAGCCGCGGCAGCTCGCGTCGATAATGCGCCGAAAAAATCTCGAGGGTCGACGTTCCCCGGATTATCGAACAAACGGCGGCCCGAATACGTCCTAGCAGAATTTTTAATGCGGCCGGACGCACGCTACCCTCCCGCACCCCGACTGCCGCATAGAGTGACACAGCACGCCGTCGACGTCTGCATCGACGGGTCGACCGAATGAAAACCCTATTTCCGTTCGCGGCACGCGACGAATCGACTCGTCATACACTGTCGAGAATTTCAACACAGGCGCACACTCACCCACTACGACGAGGCAGGTCAGCAGCAGCCCGAGTCTCCAATCCATGACGATCGTCATTGGTAACCGGTCCACTGCGAATCGCTCGATGGTTCACGGTGTCACTGGCACTGATCTGTCACAAGCGCGTTTAAAATTGGTCGCACGTGAGTCAAAGTCCGCACAGTGTTAACGTTCACAACAGTGTTAAAGTGGTCGGCCGGTCTCGCGGCAGTGACGGGATGATGCAGCGCAGGTAAGAACCGTGAGAGCACCCTGTCGCGTCTGGAAGGGGAGGAGACGGCGATGGGGTACGGGACTGAAGAGGTCTGCGGGACTCCCCTTGACCTCACCCTCTCACGAGTAGTCGCACGCGTGACGATCGCGCGAGAGGCACGCGTCGCGAGGAAACAGCCGCTGCCGGCCAGGCATTTGGGCAAAACCGTGTGTACCGCGCGGCGATCGCGTGTCCAAGTGCGCCCGTCGCCAGCTAATGCCACCCTTACGCCGCGACGCCTCCCACCACACCGCCTGACTCTTGGCCCCTGCGACGCCGGCACTGGCAAAGCCACCCCCACTTCATTCCGCTGACGCGCGTCGGGAGGCACCAGCGCCCGTACGTTCGCACGACCGACGACGAAAACGGCCGAACGACTGGTGCGGGAGTTCTACCCCACGCGCTACCCTCTCCGACCACCTGGTGGTGGTAATGACGCGCGACTGGGGGTGGTTCAGGGCCGGTAGTCGACGAACCGGTCCCCCTCGAATATTCGTCCGGAAAATTGGCCGGTTTCGGAAGTTGAGAGACACTTACGGACCGCGGCCTGACGAATTGGACCTTGGCCTACCTTTGGGGTAAACGGTGCTTCCTCCATTACAGACCTCTTTGACTTTCGTACACTGAATGTTGGTAACTGAAAATATTTAAAAAATATTAGATTTTAATGGTGTAAAATACGAGGTGTGGCAATTAAATAACGAGACTGGTGTGAGAAATGTGATTTATTGCAAATAAAGTTACATTTAACTTTTATCCCCTTCAACATACTCTCCTCCCCTATCTATACGCCGCTGCATATGTGTCTTCCATTGTTCAAAACAATGCTGTAGCTCATCAGTTGTTAGCCTCTTCAACAACTCTGCCGTTTTTATTTTTACATCTTCAACAAACTGAAAATGTGTTCCCTTCAATGCACTTTTGACATTTCGGAACAGGTAGAAGTGACACGGTGCGAGATCTGGCGAATACGGAGGATGATCAAGCACAGGAATGTACTTGTCCGCTAAAAATTGCTTTACAGATAGGGCATTGTGGGCTGGTGCGTTGTCCTGGTGCAGAATCCATGAGTCGTTCTTCCACAAATCCGGTCTTTCCTTCCTTAGTCTTTCCCCTAGCTTGATTAGGACTTCTTTGTAGTATTTTTGATTTACGGTTTGACCTTTAGGCATCCAGTCAGTCAGTCTGTTGAAGATGTAAAAATAAAGACGGCAGAGTTGTTGAAGAGGCTAACAACTGATGAGCTATAGCATTGTTTTGAACAATGGAAGACACGTATGCAGCGGTGTATAGATAGAGCACGAGAGTATGTTGAAGGGGATAAAAGTTAAATGTAATTTTATTTGCAATAGATCACACTTCTCACACCAGTCTCGTTATTTAATTGCCACACCTCGTATAATACATTTTATTTCCATTTTTATCACCCTGCCCTCTTCTTTTTCTTGACAATGATATGCCAACGATGCGTGTCGAAGAGAGAAACACATTAAACGGTAGCCACTTTATATTATACATAAAGCAAAGTTCTAAATTTATTGAATCATACATGTAGGAGAGTTTGTTTCTCGAGAATGAAGACGATAAGTGGCCGCATATTCAGGGACAAGGGTGTATGTAACGATTATGCAAAATGAAAAATTCATTTTGTTTGTAACACCGTTGTTGTAATTTGATATTCATTGTAGTTTTCTGCGAAGTGCTGTTTGTGGATGCGGCTTCTGAAGCTTGTAAGTAATAAATCATTGGAACGATTGTCTTAGTCCACACAGCCAATCAGCCTACGTCGACACGCGCAGAGTGCGGAAATCACGTGGTAAGTAACGTGTAAGAAAAATAATGAACGTGAGATGTTTCATTAAGCATCCATATTTTGTGGGAAAATTAGTAATTGCTCGTCCTCTCTGAATATAAATATTTGGTGTACGGTCTTTATATCGTTTCTTCGTTTCCATTAGTGATTCACCTTACCTTGATTTTTACGGTTTTAACACGATTTTGCTTTTACATGGTTCCCAAAAGAGCAGAGTTCCAAAAATAAAAATTTATACTGTGCATGTATTTTTTCAGTTATTTTTTGGTACCAAAAGCATTCGTATTAATTAGGGTAGTAAAACTTTAGTAGCAGAAAAGTACATGTCGTTGTGCTTTTTCTAAGCAGAAATTTAAAAAATGTTTTATTTAGTAGTTAGAGATAAGTAATCATAATTACTGTAGTATTTTTGTATTAGGATTTTTAATTTATATATTCTAAAAACACAAGTGAGAAGATAAATCACATTTTTAGAAACGAAAATGATAATTATAAAATATAATTTTATATATTTTTTAATTCAGGAATGAACTGGTATTTTTTAAAATTTTCATTGGTATTTTACTGTATTTTATGTTGAAATATATGAATGAAATTAAATAACTGTCAAAATTATACACATGTTTGTTCACTTGAAAGTGACTAAAGTTACTACGACGAGTTACTAGAAGTTACTAGTTATTCGTGTCATTTGTTCTGACACTTAAATGAATCAACACCATCTTGGTACTTCACTTGAAATGTGAAATTACCAACCTCGGAAGAGTGAATGTTTCATTATCGAAAAGTTCCCTTATTCGAACAGTCATGGCTTCCCATTAATTCGGACAATGGAGGTTGCACTGTATTCTTCCCGAATCACCCTTTACACGAACCACAATCTATCGCAACAATGGCTTGGGCGACTAAGCTTCTCTCACGTAGAAATAAATAATTATCCAAATAATATGATTTTTCTGATATTCGTCCGTGAATGCATTGGTATTCGATAGTGATAGTATAGTATTTCTTTTGGAATTTTTCTGCCGCACGGTCGAAAGGGAAAGCGGTAAATAGAGGTGGGCCAGTAGTAATGATTCTGCAAGTGAACAGAGCTCTACTAATTAAGGGGTGGAACGTAATCGTTCCTCTTTTCCTAATGACTTTACCCTTTTCCTTGCAACCGGTTGTTTTCCCGACCTTTTGCTTTCGGGAAAACAAGAAGAAACTGCATCGTACGGTTTCCGAATCGCAGCAGTGTGTCGTGATTGTTGACGTTGCTACATTTTAATTTTTTTATTTTTCGTTCCAAGAACAGTACCACGGCCGGTGGTAAAAAATGTTGCAACGATTACGTCGGTCTGTATTTAAAATGTCCTGGCTCGAGGACACGGAGAGAAGAAATTTCTCCGCGAAAGGGGAAACGTTTCTTTCACCGCCCTTTTATTTATCCTCCGACAAGAGCGCAACTCTTGATGAGTTAATTGGATTCTTGTTGCGGACGAAAATTAAAACGGAGGAATTACAGAGCGGGGTTACGACCCTCGACAATCTTCTCCCCTTCCCGTTCCCCTGCTTCGCAGTGTCCTCGAACCTGACATTCCTTTTCACTCACGTTCGAAGATCATGAAACATCGAACTCATAAAAAAGCCACAAGCAACCCTTGAATTTCCATTTCCGTTGCACGCACTTGTTCGCACTGCTCTCAGAGTCCTCGAGTTTTGAATTTTCATTCACAGATATTCGAACAGAAGCGTGGAAACTATTTTTACAAGATAGTAAGATTTTTACAGTAAGAAAGAAATATTTAGTAGTACTTTCAACAATTCAGTTTTAATTTAAGCTCTCTTGAAAAAATTAGAAAACAATTGTGTAGGTGTCACATCGAGTATCGTTCCGATTAAAATTTATAGATTGTGTTCGCAGGGAATTCTGACCGTAAATCGATGTCAAAACATTCAAACAAAAAATATATCAAAAATTTTTGTACATAAAAACTTGTCAATAAAATACAATACGTTCATAAAATACGGTCCTTTGCCAATACCATTTAAAATGTATGGAATTTCTATGTTGGAAAACCAATTTAAGGTTTATTTTGTGCAAGTATTTACAACACGTGTGATTTCCGTCGATCAATGGAGAGAATTCTTCGTTCATTTATTTATAAAATTATGCATAAAAATATGCAGTTAATATAATACTTAAAATTGCAAGGGGTCAACTTTTCCTATATTGAACAATATTTTCGTCCCTGACATGCAAAATTTTCAATTTCGCCTGCAAGCTTTTGTATACTTACATCGTTGTCATATTTTATTACGAAATAGACTCCTCTTTTTGTATTTTAAAGAATGCCTGTTGGTACTCCAAAGATAAGGAGCATTTTATTCATACGATGAATATCGATACATATTTTGTGTAACAAATTATTTTCAACAATTTTCGAGGAGAGCAGTTACTCAAATAACTTTTCATTCATTTAACACGAAACATAAATTGATCGTAGAATTAAGTTTGTAACGTTCATTGAAGTATTAAAAAATGAAATATTATTTATCTTTTGTTCGTTATTTAAAATTGTTTGACAGAAGTAAAAAAATACATTCTGCCACGGAGTTAGAAGAGCACTTTAAATTGACTGGAAAATAGCCAATTTCCAAATTTCCAGAATAGAATTTTGAAGCTTGAAACTTCAGCTTTCCAGTTCGCTCGAGTGATTTTTGCAATAATGACTTCCCAAGCGGTGGCACCAATTCGAAATCGATCGTTTGCTATTTCTTGGACCTCCTCAACTTTGATTGCACGAAGTTCAATAAACTTTGCGGTGAAACAAGGGAATTTATATGAACGCGTAATTTGTAGAGAAAGTGTGAGACTGCTGTGAAGAATGCGTGGAATGCGTGAAAAGTATAGAATAAATGGATTAGGATGTATATGGTATGCATGAAATGTGTAGAATTTATGGAATTAGTGGTGGAAGTATATAATTACCTGAGGATATGTTGATAATGAAGAACTATGCAGTGTGAAGTGTGCATGGAAACTTGACTTTGTACCAAAGAGAGTCAAACTGAAAGATTATTTTGAATTCTTATATCTCCACAAAAAGAATCGTAGAATTGTTACAACAAAATAAAATGGAAACGGAGACTCTAAAGTTTAATGTCCATTGATAAATGTTGCGATAAAGATTCATTCAGTCGCTTTAGTGGTTTCGAAGTTTAAGTATTTCCACTTCTATAACCACGGCTAAAAGAAGCAATCATCTTGGAAAATCTCTTCATAGAATTTTACGATTATCTTTCGCGATGTTACAGAACTTCGAAATCTGCCATTTTCCAGACGATTTCAAATGGTATTTTGATTTTGTCGCGAAGTGTACTATTCTTACCGATATAAATTATTTCATCGACTGGGAAGCCTTTTCTTCTTTCGAAATCGT